GAGCTTGGCCTTTCTTGAGGTGGTTCTGATAGTGATTATTATAAGGTATTGCTATACTTATAATAGTGAGAGAGAGGGCTGGGGACAAGATATAGTTACCAAGTACTTGCACATCCCAAGGGCCTACTCTTCCAACTGTCTATAATTTTCATCAACTCCCAATGCCATCAAATCCACTGATGAGCTTGGGAACTCTCATGATCCAATCACTTCCCCAAAGCCCAAAAGTCTTCAAAAACATGAACCTTAGGGGGTTCATTCTAGATCTAAACCATAACACCAGGTTATTTAGGATAATAAACCCTTATTGTTATACATGACAGAATGTGCCAGGTGTCAAAAAAGACATTATTTTTTCTGCTAATAAGCATGAAGAAGCAGCAGGCAAGAACCTCAGCTGAAAAACATGGAATGGATAATAAAAGGTATAAGTAGTAAAAGTAGGCATGGATAATAAAAGTGGAAATGGACAATAATAACAAAGGCAGGTAGGCAGGAAAACATCTAAGAGGCCAGAGAATCTGGCCAAGTCAGATTTTTGCAACACTGCAGAATGCATGAGAAGAGTGGTGGAAGGAAAGGGTAAAAAAAGCGATTTGGTTTGCATTTCTCTGTTTGCTAGAGATGATGAGCATTTTATGCTCAGTAGTACGTACTTCATTCTTGCAGAGAGAGAGAGAATTTTGATATTACAATGCCTTAGAAGCTTAAATCTAAGGCATCAACTTGTCATTATGCAGACAAGGAAACTGAGTTTCAAGAAGGTTAAGTGGTTTGAAGAGAATCACAAAATTCACAGGTAGAAGTTTAAAATTAATTTACTGCCTCCCAGAAATGACAGGATTAGGTATATGATTTAGGAAAATTATTTCAATAGCAATTTGCAGCATGAACAAGAAAGAAAAGTAATTACCTATATAGTTTAGGAGTGAAAAGAAATTGGATATATTGTAACTTAGACATTCTTTTACTAAGGTGCTATAGTAATATGTTTAAAAATCTTATTCATTTTGATATGCCAGGCTGAATGAATTGTTGACTTAGCCATTAATAATTCCCTACCTTGGCTACAGACTTCACTAAAGGAAAGGAAAAACAACAACAACAACATCAACAACAAAAATAGACCTATCTTCCCCAAAATTGAGTTTTTGTGCTGACTATATCAGTAACATATATTGCTACTTATGCCATGTCAATTATTCATGGAGAATGGTGAATCACTGACATGATTTCAACAACTGAGTTAATTTCAACAACTGTGAATGGGAAAAGCAATTTTCCAAAGAAAGTAAACTTCAATGAAACCTATGTTCAAATGTCATTTCTCTAAAAACAACTAAGCATCCAAGATTTTTCTAAGAGTCTACAATATTTCATTGTGTAACTTACATAATGGTTTAAGCTAACACACAATGCTAAGGAAAAACAGCAGAAGCATGTGACCATAAAAAGACAAAGCTGGTTTTCCTGTGTGGTTTGTGGAAAGTAGCCTCATTACTTTATAGTCATACCTTATAATAATCACTAGCAGAACCACTCCAAGAGATGCTGAGCTGAATCTATTATACCTAAAATAATAGAGCATAACATAATACTTGTCCTCCTTGATGATTACCTTAAAAGGTTTCAATAGAGCTCTATTTTTCTTTTATATATTGTCTGGATCAATCATCCAAGAAATTATCTTAACTTTCTCTGTATCTATATTTTCTAATGGCACTTGCATTGTACTTTTATAGCACCTGCCATGCCTATTATCTCACTTTCTGCTGAGTTTAAATAGTTTATCTATGTCCTGCCATCTAGCTTAATGGCACAATTTATTATTATACCTTGAAGCATTATTTTGAATTGAAAGAAGATTAACATATCTATAACACTGGTCTAAGTTTACTGGAGTTAAATGGGGCTTTGGAAAATCACTTTGTCTTCTTCCTTAAGTAGCACAATGACTAAAGTTTTGCAAGGGCACAGACTATGACATTGTGTCCCTCAGAGTACCCATACCACACAGGTATTTTTTAAAAGCTTGCTCAAGTAATGTAATGAACAATGACAACAGTCCAATTTGGATGCAACCATGAGAAGCTAAACTCACCAGAGCTAATTTGGTCTATCAGGATACCCAGAAATCTACTGTGCAGGTTTGTCTCTCTCTCTCTCTCTCTCTCTCTTTTTCAAACTGGTCACTTAGATTGTGACATTCCCCAGGCTTCAGTCACAGATCTTCCTTTCACACTGTACACATTCCACCAGATCAGTTATACATTCTTTCAGCTTTAATCTTTCCTAAGTGCATGTGGCTGACAGATCATTTTCTTTGGTTTTTATTTTTTTTCCTAATCTAAATACTATATCTCATAATGTCTACTAGATATATCTATTCTTATGTCAGACTAACCTCAACACAAGCTTGGAACAGGAGTCATCATCATCCACCTACACTCTGCTCCTTGTCTTATCAGTAACAAGCCCCACCCAACTACCTAACAGTGAAACCCAGATAAACTGCATTTCCTCTTTTTCTTTTATTATTATTATTATTGCATTGCAATTCTTAATACACCATTATACCACAACTTATCATGTCTCTGATTGTATATGAGGTATATTGACACCAAATTCACATCTTCACACATGTATTTTGTATGATGACACCCATGTCAAATCAATCACCAACTGCTAGTAATTCAGCCACCAAAAATATGTCTCCAACCTATTTGTTTCTGTCCTTTTTTAATGAGACCATATCTTAGCAGGCATTATCATGACTTAATCAGAATTACTCCTAACTAGTGACTGTACCTCCAGGCTAACTCCCCTCCAATCTACCCTATAGACAGAATGATTTTTCAAAATATGAGTTTGCTTAAAAACTCTTGAATGACTTCCTATGATTTCTAAGATGGCATCCAAACTCCTTGTCACTATTTGCAAGGTCCTTCAAGAGCCAGAAACTACCTTGTAAATCAATAATATAGTGTGGCAAAATGAATTAATGCACATGGTCTAGGAGCCAGATTGATTGGTCAGTTATGAACTTTCTCATAATAGAGGCAAGTTACTTGATTTCTCTGTTCCTGTTTTCTTATGTGTAAAATGAGAACATCAATGCTTATCCCATAGTGTGGCTGTGAAAGTTAAAGGAGATAAAATACAATATTTTCCATAGTATCTGACACATATGATAACATAGTAAATCCTTAGTAAATATTAGCTATTTTTGTCATCTCTTTTTAGTTAATTTCTCACTTCTCTTCATTTGTTTGCTGAGTGACATCTGTAGCAAATCTTTCATGTCCTCTTCACCTATCACCTCTTCCTTTACATATCTAGTGCCTCTGACTGCAATCTCCCTTCCCAGAACTCTACCCTTCCCATAATTCTTTAGGTCTAATCCCAAATGCTACATTCACTGGAAAGTCCTTCTGGCCTCTGTTGTACCCTGTTAAGAGTCCCCTAAGTGCTCCCCAAGGCCTTGTGTTTTCCTTGACATAGTACTAGTCCCATTTTGTGTAAATTTCTCTTCACTGCTAAATTGTAATTTCTGTGTGAAAAGCAACAGTGTCTATCTTGTTCACAACTGTATTCCAAAAGCATACCTAGGATAGTGCCCAGCATATAGTAGGCAGTTAATAAAGAGTGTACATTTCCTCTCATAGATCCAGAGATGCTCCTCCCCAAACTGCGGAAGGTAGAAAAGTAGTGTTCCTATAACCGCTTTCTTCAAATAATCTTCAGAAAAAGCTTCCACAGAACAAAAAAACCTGCTCTAAAAATCCTGGGAACCCTTTACTTAGGGATAAAGTAAAGTTGGGGCTCTAAAGCAATACTTTTCAGAATCTTTGTTATACTAAAGTGCGTTGTTAATCTCCAAGTAGGGGGAAGGGGTCTATTTACCAAATATTCTGCAACCAGGGTTCTGCAGATTTAAGTTCCCCTACTAGAACTTCTAAATGCTGGGAGTCATGAGCAGGACATCTCTGGGATACTTAGTCTGCAGGGTTTGTCACTTTTAGGAAGGACGTACTCTCTGGACACAGAAATTAAGAGCCAGAAGGTACACTACTAGTTATCCTTTAACAAAGCTCCTTCTTAAACTGAGGCCACAAAGGGAAAAGCAACTGGTCTACTGCCACACAGCGACTACACACAACAGGAAGAGCTAGAAGTACACTTGCATTTCGTCTCCGTGTCTTCCAGTCCAAATGTCTCTGGCTACCTGGGTCCACCAAGTATTCCCACTTCAAATTTTATTTTTAAGGCATACCAAAGTGAAAGTCATTTCTCCTCGGCCGCCGGTCCCCTTTGGCCTACCATTCCTCACTTCTCTCCCTTCCACAATACACTTTCCCTATAATCCTGTGCAGTCGGGGCTTGGCTAGGGGCGACGACAATACGTTTTTGTTGTGTGTTTTTTTTTTTTTTTCCCTTTAGACTTGTAAACTTCTTCGTGTAGGACAACCAAATCAGGTTAGGCCTCCGCCTAAATCCCCATGGGCTCTGCTCCCTACCCCACCGTACCCTATCCTACTTCACCCCACCGGTTCCCTTCCTCTCCCGGACACCGGGGCCCCTCTGTTGGTCTTCACCTGGGACTGCCATGATGCTCCTAAGAGGGGTCGTTGAAGCCCTTAGCTTTCGAGAACGCGTTTGCTTCCCGCCGGCTGTGAAGACAACACACAAAGCGACCTCTTGTACCCGTGCCTCGGCACCTTTCCGACGGTGGGGAAAAGCCTGATAAGCCTCTGGGGCTGGCGGAACCAAGTAGCCACGGTTGCTGTTTCCGGGCGACTAATATTGCAGAACATACATGGTCTGAACCATTACTGCCAGCTTCGGGAACTATGTGTTACCTGCGCCCTAGTGAAGTGAACACCGCTAGGATTTACATATTATTTCTTTTTATTTCGTTATAAATAATAAAGTCGAATATTATATTAGTATATAACAGCTTTGTAATCATTTTTTGTTTTCTGGAGAACACGGGAGTCCCCCTTCTCATGGTTAGCGGTGCTCGGGTCCAAGAGCAACATGGCGGCGTCCGTGAGGGGCTAGTTTTGAGGCAGGATAGTATTTGGTGTCGCTGTCTTGGGTGACAGTGACCGAGTGGAACTTTTCCTGACAACATAACTTAAGGAATTGTGTTCTGATAGGCGTCTGGATTTAGTGACTGGCTGGCCTCTGGCGTCCTCACTAAGGAGCGGATTCCTGAGCACTGAGCAGGATGAGCAACATCTACATCCAGGAGCCTCCCACGAACGGGAAGGTGAGAACCTCACCTATGGTTCCTGGGCTCCTCAAATGAGATCTGCCCGATAGAGGGGTTCAGGGATCTTAGGGTTGAAAAAAGACCACAGAAACCTAGTTCCTTTCCCTGCCTAGGGACAGTGTTGCATCTAAAACACCAAAGTTGGCACTTCTCAGCATAGACTTGAAAAAGTCCTGAAGTGGAGATGTCTCTGTCTGCTTTCTGGACCGGTTTCCTGCTTTGTCCCAACTCTCGCAGCCGTCTTCTAGCGTCTCCGGGTTTTTAATAAAAGTGCAATTTTGTGCAATTTTGAGTTTGATATATTCTTAGTTTAACTTGGAGAGCGATCATTCTCCATTCTCTCTGTACTTATTTATTGAGCACTTGCTAGGGACCAGGCACTATCCTAGCTGTTAACATAGGATAGCTATGGTTTACTTTGAGAGGCAGGCAGGTGAACAAGAACCTTTGGCATGTCTGATAAATGAGCTTTTGGAAAGAAGATTTTTGTCGCTATGGCAGTGATTTAGGAGTAAGCAACTGGGAATGTTGGGGGAAAGAACCATGCAGCAGACATCTATTGAGCTGGTCTTAAAACAAAGCAGTTATCAGAGAAAATGGAGAATGTTACCACATTAGAATGGGAGAGGATTTTCTTTTTCTTTTTTTAATACTTAGTTTTTAGTTTTCGATTTTTATGTGGGGCTGAGTATCGAACCCAGCGCCCTACACATGCCAGGCTAGCGCGCTACCGCTTGAGCCACATCCCCAGCCCCAAGGGAGAGGATTTTCTGATAGATTTGATGTCCAAGGCATGTCACTTCCCATCCAGGGTGTTCATGTACCTTTTGATGCAAAGGAGACAATTGTGGAATGTGTCACCTGAGTTCTTGAACAGAGACCTAGTCCATATCACATATTAAATGTGATAAACCAGCAAAATGGCAAATATAGTGGGATTGGAAGTATGTGGTTGAGGGATTGGGGACTGTCCGTAATAGAAGGTTTATTTATCATGCACAAGACCCTGGGTTCAATCCCCAGTAAAACACACACACATACACACACACACACACACACACACACACACAAATGTGTAAAGTTGAATTGAGATAAAACTACATTTATATAAAATGCAATTCTGTTGGTAATTTTATCACAAATCACTTATACAATCTTTTATTCATTAAAATTTGGTAATGTAATCAGGGCAATTTGAAAGTCAAAAACAAAAATGCTATAATTCCCAGCGCCCCCACCAAAAACAATTAGTGGGTATCTGGGGCAAACACTTCTTTGCTGTTTGAACTTTTCCTGGGCATTATAGGTGAGCATCCCCATCCTAATCTCCATTCACACCCCACCCCACTTCACATCAGTGTGAAAACTCAAAAACACCTACCTCCTTCTATTTCTAAATGTTTCTTGGGGGGCTGTGTTAACACCAAATGGTAAACACTGGTAGAGACTAGATTGCCTGTCTCACCAGGCAGGGCCTTCACAGTTGCTATTCCTCTTTCCCGTGTGCTGTTTTACTGCTCCCATGTCAACCTTAGCAAGAAGGCCTTACTTATCTATTTTCTGTGAAATTGCAAACCTTAATCAGGCCCTGCATCCCATTATCCCTGGCTGTCTTAACTTCTTTATGTTTTTTTTCCTACAGTATTTATTATTTGTTTATTGTATCCTGTCTACCTTTACCGTGTAGAATGCAAACACTGTAGGTGCAGAGACAAGAATCTAGAATAGTGCTTGACACATAGTAGAAGGAGTTCAAATATTTACTGAAAGAATGAATGAGTGGATGGGTGAATTAATATTACATTTCTCTTAACTTCTGAAATATACTAAGCATTGAGGAGTTTGAAGTTATACTGTTGCTCACTGAAGGCAGATTTAGTTGCTTTATTCTAGAGGATAGTTTAACATGGTCATACAGATGAAAAGCTTTGACAAGGATACATTATAAATGTTTATTGAGCATCCAACACATGTCAGGCTTTATATTAGGTTTTAGAGATGCTCTGGGGAGGGGGGGAACTGCTTCGTACCTGTTATGCACTCAGTTGAGTGAAATATATGTTGAACAAATAATTATGTAAATAAAGGTATAATTACAAGTTGTGATTAATACAGCCTGTCTTCTGAAGAGAAATGGGCTGAAAGAGAACATAAGGCATGCCTCATCCAAGTTTTTTCCAAAATCCATTTGGGACTTTTTCCTAGCACAAGAATTGAGGAGATTGAAAATTTAAAGTTCTGTACTGCAGAGAGCATGGGCCAAGAAAGAATGTAAAGCAGATGTAATAATTACAAGTGTGTCAATGAATGTTTAATGCCTTTACTGTCTAATGGTACATTAGGCATTGAAAGTGTACAGAGATATTTAGAATGAATGGGACAAAATTCCTCCCTTCAAAGATCATGGTATCAACTTAGAAAATAATTGATACACGATGGCAGTTATTTACCCCTGGATGTTGTCCATAAGTGTCTTATTTTGCTGTGTTGTGCTCTAAACTTAGCTCCTAAAGGTAAGGCCCAGAAATGTAGCACTTGATAGAGATTTTCATAAGTATAAGGTAATCTATTGAGGTTGAAATTTCTCCATATTATGATCACATAATCTAAATTGCCAACATCTTATTTGGGTCCTTTAAGAAAAAGAACCACTGAGGTCTGACAAAGTAGTCATGGCCAAAGGAGGAAGGAGTCATGCCTTCTTTATTAATTCAGTAGCTTTGTCAAATGAAACAATTAAGAAATCAGGTAGTCAGGGTAGCCCAACCATATGTGCATTCTTACTGCTAGGAATAAATTGCCTAGAGCAAAAAATATGTATATTTATCTATGAATAATAATTAGAATAATAATGGCTATCATTTTAAATTTTATTTGTTCTTTTTAGATATACATGACTGCAGAATGCATTGTGGCATATTATACTTCCCTGGCGTATAACTTATTCTAATTAGGATCCTATTCTTGTGATTGTATACGATGTGGAGTTACCCTGGTCATGTATTCAAATCAAGGATGGGAAAGTTATGTCCTATTTTTCTACTGTCCTTCCTATCCCCGTCCTCCTCTCTTCCCTTCATGCTCCTTTTCTAATCCAATGAACTTCTATTCTTCCCCTCCCACCCTCCCTTGTTGTGGGTTAGCATCCATATCAGCGAGAACATTCAGCCTTTGCTTTTTGGAAATGGCTTATTTCACTTAGCATGATATTTTCCAGTTCCATCCATTTACTGGCAAATGCCATAATTCCATTCTTATTTATGGCTGAGTAATTTTCCATTGTGTATTTATATCACATTTTCTTTATTCATTCATCTGTTGAAGGATACTTAGGTTGGTTCCATAGCTTGGCTATTGTGAATTGAGCTGCTGTAAACATTGATATGGCCGCATCACTGTAGCATGCTGATTTTAAGTCCTTTGGGTATAGATGGAGAAGTGGGATAACTGGATCAAATGGTAGTTCCATTCCAGTTTTCCATAGTGGTTGTACAAATTTGCACTCCCACCAGCAATGTATAAGAGTACCTTTCTTCCCACATCCTCACCAACATTTATTATTACTTGTTTTCATTATGATTATGGCTCTCATTTTTTGAGCACTTATTTGTGAAGCACTACTCTAAGCAGTCTTTATAGTAGTTCATTTTGTCCTGCAGCAAACCTATGAAGATATTATCCCTGTTTATAGATGGAGAATTGAATCATACACATGTTAGATACCTTGCCCAAGCTAAGAAAGATAGTAAGTGGAAGTGTCATCTTTGATGTTGGGCAGCCTGTGGTGGGAGGGATGATGTGCATTGGTTTGTTTTTTTTATAGCAGTGATTGTACGTACATACATCCTAAAATGTGAAAAGCCATTCATTCTTGGGAGTTGGGAGAAAAATCTACATCTATTTGTATTTATCTTCTCTTTTATTTGTTTAAGTGTAAGAGTTTATATATATTTAAAAATCATGTAAGTTCAATTACTTGTTCAGTCACTTTTTTTCTATCATGATGTGGTTTAATGACTGGCTAACTGGATTTAGAAACCTCACAAATTTCATATTGAAGATAATATTAGTATAAATATAATCAAATAATAAGAAAATGGTAGAATTGATGCCTCAGAATGGGAAGTCTGTGAAAAATTTAGAATTATGAATTTATTATCAAGATTATTTGAAATATGAATTTTTGTTTATTAATGTTCATGGTAAACTTTAAAAATATATATATTTGTTTGAAATACTTATCACTATAAGTATAGAAACCATTGCACAATCTCTCTCTTTTTGTGGAGGATTGAACCCAGGGGTACTTCACCACTGAGTCACATCACTAGTCCTTTTTATTTTGAGATAGTCTCCCTGAACTGCTAAGGGTCTCATTAAGTTGCTGAGGCTGGCCTCCAACTTGTGACACTTCTACCTAAGCCTTCTGAGTTGCTGGGATTATAGGTGTGTACTATCATATCTGACCTTTTTATATTCTTTATTTTTTTATGACTCAATTATTTAATAATGTTCAATTTTGCAACAAAATTATAAATATGTTTTTTATGAAGTATACTGGTCTAATATTTCTGATGAAAATAGTATTTAAATTGAGATATGCTATGAGTATAAATATGTATTATAATTCAAAGAGTTAATAATAAAAAAGAATATAATATTATTCATTAATCATTTTATATAAATTATACACAATGAGATTTTTTCATACATATACAGCACAATTTTTCATATCTCTGGTTGTACACAAAATAGAATCATATCCTTTGTGTCTTCATATATGTACTTAGTGTAATGATGACCATTGCATCCACCGTCTTTCCTACCCCTATTCTCCCTCCTTTCAGCTCCCTCCTCTTTTCCCCTTTGTCCTATCTAGAGTTCATTTAATCCCCCCCTCAGCATATTATGAATCAGCATTCTTAAATCAGAGAAATCATTTGGCATTTGGTTTTTTGGATTGGCGAATTTCACTTAGGATTATATTTTCCAGCTCCATCCATTTTGCAAATGCCATGATTTTATTCTTTTAATGCTGAATAATATTCCATTGTGTATATATACCACATTTTTTTTATTCATTCATCTACTGAAGGGCATCTAGGTTGGTTCCACAGTTGTTTAGCTATTGTGAATTGTGCAGCAATAAACATTGATGTGGTTGTGTTCCTGTAATATGCTGATTTTAAGTCCTTTGGGGTGTAAACCGAGGAGTGGGATAGCTGGGTCAAAAGGTGGTTCCATTCCCAGTTTTCCAAGGAATCTCTATACTGCATTCCAGATTGGCTGCACCATTTTGCAATCCCACCAGCAATGTAAGAGTGTGCCATTTTCCCCACATCCTCGCCAAAACTTATTGTTGTTTGTATCTTTCATAGCTGCCATTCTGATTGGAGTGAGATGAAATCTTAGTTTTGATTTGCATTTCTCTAATTGGTAGTGATGTTGAACATTTTCTCCTGTATTTGTTGATTGTGTATCTTCTTCTGAGAAGTGCCTATTCAGTTCCTTAGCCCATTTGTTGATTGGTTTTTTTTTGTTGTTGTTGTTGTTGTTTTTTGGTGTTAAGTTTTTTGAGTTCTTCATATATCCTGGGGATTAGTGCTCTATCTGATGTGCATGTGGCAAAAATTTGCTCCCAAAATGTAAGCTCTCTCTTCAACTCATTGTTTTGCTGAAAAACAATCTTTTTAGTTTGAGTCCATCCCTTTTATTAATTCTTGATTTTATTTCTTGCACTTTTCATATTCTTGATTGAGTTTTCAAGACATTTGAAAACTAAGTGTGGGAAAAAAGAAAATAGACCTTTTGAATAATTTGAAAGCAACATTATACCAAATGAAAAAGCCAGAACAAAAGGACACATATTCAGTGATTCCATTTATATGCAATGTCCATTTGGCAGGTACATGCAGATAGAAAGTAGATTATTGTTGCCATAGGGAAATGGGTACTGATTGATAATGGATGCAAGGTTTCTTTTTAGGGTGATAAAACGTTATGGAATTAATGGCAATGATTGCTCAACACTGTGACTATACTAAAAACCACTGAATTTTTTACTGTAAAAGGGTGAAATGTTTGATATGTGGATTATATCTTAATAAACAGATTCATTATACCATTAATAATAAATAAGAATTATTTTAAAATACTGTTTATTTAATCTTATAAAATCTTATTTTATTTGCTATATATGTTACAGCAATATAGTACTACATATATTTAAGTTTTAGAAATGAGCTCTAAGCCTTTACTTATTCTCCACCCTCACTTTTCTTTCTCTTCCCCCATTCCCTCCCTCCCTCCTTCCCTTCCTTTCTCTCTTCTTCTCCTTCTTTCCTTCACAGAACTAGGGATTGAACCCAAGGGTATTATACCTCTGGGTTACATTCCCAGCACTTTTTATTTATTTACTTATTTTTGAGGCTGGTTTTTGCTAATTGCCCAGCCTGGCCTGAGTTTGTGATCCTCCTGCCTCAGGATTGCAGTAACTGGGATTGTAGTACCACTGTGTCAGGACTTTTTAAATTTTTTGCTAATTAGTTTGCACACTTTCAAAAAATTTGGAGAGCATTGCTTTACAAAGTAAAGAAAACGTGTTAACATTTTCTTTACCAATAGTGCCTCATTTTAGCTATATAAGGGGATAATGAAATAGGATAGGATATTGTCTTTTTAGGTGTACAATACTTTAAAGATTTGGATGTACATCAAGCTTCATGGAAAAATCAGAAGACACTGCATAGTTTTGTTCCAGATCCGTTCTCAGTAGAAGGAGTTTTTCAGTCTTCCTATTTATAGCCTAATGTTTATTTCCCAGGGAAGTGAGAATCAAGTTGGGTTGGTTTGTCTCTATCCATTATAGAATATCTCTTGTGCACTGTTTCATGCCAAGCTATGCTAGAAGGTCTTACTTTCCATATATTCAGCCAATATATAATTGCTTTTGACTTAAGCATTTTTCTCTACTCAAATCAGTTGTGACCAGGGCAATCTCAGGGATTTCTTTTGAGATAATATGGCAGGGTTCTAGAACTTGAAGGACTTTTTTTTTTTTTTTTTTCCAGAATAGTATAGAAAATATGGAGAACTTTTTGGAGGCAGTATGATGATATAGGGAAAACTTTATTCTTTATATTCTTTACAGTCTGAAAACTTTTGGCTTAAATTCTATATTCTTTATAGTCTGAACTTTTGGCTTAAATCATTCACTGTGAAATCTTGGATAAAGATATTCTGAGTTTCTGGTTTGTTCATCAGTAACACGGGATTAATAATACCTACCTTGTAGGTTAGAATTTAATGGAATAAAGTATCCAAAATGTCTGGCATAGAAGCTGACATGGGAGACATTTTAACAAATGTTCCCTGTTTGGTACTAAATGGATTAAGAAAATTGTGCATGTTTGCATTTCTAATTCTTTTATATTTCCTTAGCAGTTAAGGAAACTATTTAAAAATCTACCTCAGTGCAGATATTTTCATTTCTCCCATTCTCGTGGTCACTGAAGAGTAGTTGTAGCAGAACTATGTAGCTTGTAGAAGCCCAGAAAGATTTAATGAATCCATCAATGTTATAAAAATTCATGACAGCATTATCTGAACTTTTGAAATAGAAATTGAAGGGTAATTGTAGCAAAAAAATGTACTGAATAGAAAGAGGTGATTGAAATGCTTTTCTTTTTTAAAAAATATTTTTTAAATTGTAAATGGATACAAAATGTGTATTTACTTATTTCCATGTGATGCTGAGGATCAAATTGAGTGCCTCACACATGCAAGGCAAGTGCTGTGCCACTGAGCTACAGCCCCAGTCCTGAAATGCTCTTTTTGCTTTGCTAACTCAGCTTTCTTAACTTGGGCAGTTTGCAACTCTTAGGCATCCCTACAAGGCAGGGGCATGGACTTAATTGAATGATTTGTATGCTTCCTCCATTTCCAAAAAAAATGTTTTTGTGAAAACTAATGTAGGAGTTGTAGGGGAAAAAAAGAAGTATGGCTTCTATCAATGATAGTGACTTTCTCTGAGAATCAGTTATTTTTAAAATAGTGCACACTGCATATACTTTATTTGTAAGAACTTTCTAAATTATTGTGGTGGCCACAATCTTGACATTGATCAAGTTTGGTGTACTTGGGGCAAAAAACGGAAAAGATGGATGCCATAGTGTTCAAACTTAGGGTTTAACATTCCTCCTCCTCTTCCTCCTCCTCCTCTTCTTCTTCTTTTTGTTATTTGTGGTTATTAGTAAGTCAGGTATAAACTGTTGCCTCCTGCATACTCAGTAGGGGTTCTGGTTGTTTCCCAAGAAGTAATCACTGCCATGAGCAAGTGGAAAGGAAGCTATCAAAGGCTTCTATTTACTTTTAAAACATATCATTTTAGTCTGAATCAGAATTAGATTAAGAATATTATTCCATAAATTATGAGTAGCAAATGAAAAAGTAGAGTGACAGTGTAATTATAAATGAGTAATTATAAAATTATAATGTCATAATTTAATGAATCTGCATTTAAATTTCTTAATACACCAATTTTATTGGAAGTGATGATGAGAAACAATTATAAAAAGTTTGATTATCATCTTTAAATAATTAAGTTCTTTTCTGTGATTAAAAAATGGTATATATCATTTTTTCTTAAATCCTAAACTATTTCTGAAAATGATATATTGAGAGATCTAAATGTATAATAATTTACAGTGCATATTTGAAATTTTGTTTAGTATAAAAACAAAAGTCAAGCAGTTTCTAATGTTCTGAAATCAGAAAATCATTGGTGAATGCTTCAAGTTGAATAGTGATTCAACTCATTATCAAAATGTTAATATAATGATATAATATTCTTTCTGCAGGTTTTATTGAAAACTACAGCTGGAGATATTGACATAGAGTTGTGGTCAAAAGAAGCACCTAAAGCGTGCAGAAATTTCATTCAGCTTTGTTTGGAAGGTAATTATAATTCTTGAGAAATCATAGTTAATTTAAAAATAAACTGTAGTGTATTTTTCACAACATTGAAGATTGGTGTTGGATAGTGGTAATGAGTAGTGCGTGTTGATATGAGTGATATGGTCTTGAGCTATGTGTCAGAAAATAGAGAGGGGAGATAACGCTTTCTCCAAAATAAACCTATATGGTTTTAACAAAAATTTATTTTAGCAAATAATACTTTGATCATTTTTTTCTTTCTTTAATATTCTAAATACAGATATTTCCTAAGATTGTCTCTAGTTCTATTGTCTTCACTCTTCTGTTATTACTTTCATGCAAATGGCTGTTACAACTAGAACTCCAGCCATTTCTTCCCTTCTTAGCACCAGTATGGAATTACTTAGTGGACTTTTCTTCTGGAACCTTCCAATGTCAGCTACAACTAAACTAATGTAAGACTAAATTTATCAAATTTTTTTTCCCCAGATTGCCTTGACTTTCACCTTCCTAACTGCAGTTGCCTATTATCTGGTCTTCCTGACTTTCATCTTTAATTTCTTTTTCTTCTATTTAATCTTCTAATATTTGAATTCTCAGGCAGTTTGGCTTTCTAGCTTTCTAATTTTATTTCTCATTGCATTAACCATTTGGTTTCAGCTATTACCTTTATTTCCTGAATATTTCCTTCTCACTTTCATTTTCCTTACACTTTCATGAATATCCTCATACTGGTTTTCCTTTGTTGTTGTTGTTGTTTAAGAGTGTTTTCTCTTTTCATTTTTTAGTACCTAGCTTTTAATATCTGTTCAAAATTCCAGTTTTTCCGTAGTCTTGGCATTCACTAATGTTATTATCAATGTCTATTTTTTTTTAAGATTTGAATCATAAGGTGATGACTTTTCTTTTAAAAATGTTACAGAAATTTACATTCACTTGAGTGTTTTTTACTTCACAATATTTTCTTATCAAACATTTCTAACATTTTTAGAATGTCTTGTTGGGTTTTAGAATACATTGCATATGGTTTTGAATATCTTTAGTGGTGGCAAATCATAGTCCTCCTAAGTTATATATGATTTTTAGAGAAAATATGTTTTAAAGTATCAGAAAATAGCATTTTGGGCCAGAAACAAGATGTAAAAAGAGAATCCATAGTATCTAGTATTATGGGATAGTGAGAACTCTCCAAATAGATAAATACCAGGAGAAGATTTAAGAAATAAAATTAAAACAAAAAAGACAAAGAGAGAGAGAAGAGAAAGAAGATGTCTGCAAAAACCATTATTAATAATTGTTATGGCAGGCAGGAAGGAAATAGAGTCAGACAGGTAGTTTAGTTAGAGAGGCCTCAAATAACTGTCAACAAAGCTAAGAAGCACATGAGACACAAAAAAGTCAGACTTGCTTCTGGTAAGAAGTTTTGAAGAATAAAAAGCTCAAATTTTACAGGAGGAGAGTTAAATTACAAAAACATTAGAAAGAATGAATGGTAAATTGCAAATCATATCCAGTTAAATGGAAGAAACAGAAAATATCTGGATATAAAATAACAATGAAGAAAAATAATGAGGTTGGTAAGTTGGATGATGAGGAAGCTCAATTATGGCAACCAAAAAAATCATTCTCAATTTATAAGAATACAAGAAGAAAGAAAAAAGAATAGAAAAATAGTAAGAAAAATAATCAGAGTAATTCTCCTAATTTAGCAGATAAAAGATTGAATTGTTATTGGAAAGGCTAACAAGAAGGCTGACAAGAATGATTTGAAAAAGATACTCACAAATGAGTAAAGTCAAGGTTTTAAAAATATAATTCAGAAAACCCCAGTTAGATTCTTTCAAGTCTTTGATTCCTTGATCTTATAACACTCAAATCAATACTACATATATATATATACTACATATATATATATACTACATATATATATACTACATATATATATACTACATATATATATACTACATACATATATATACTACATATATATACTACATATATATATATACTATATATATATATATATATATATTATATATATATATATATATATATATATATATAGGGAGAGAGAGAGAGAGAGAGCGCATTGTTTAATGTAAAATAGTTAAAGGGAAGATCACAGCCTTTCCAAAAACAAAAGATCTACTATTATACAAACTAAATCTTGGATTTTAGGTCTTTGTAGTATAGTTAGGTGAACATTTATGATGAGTGTAATTTTTAATAAATTGTCAGGTCAAAAATGTATTATAATGAATACCTTTTATAATTTCATTAGTTATCTGAAGTGCGAGGAAGGAATAAAATTAATTCATGCCCATAATATTTATGCCAATATTTTGCCTTGTCTCTTCATGATATATCCTTCAGTTATTTTTATCCTCTATTTCCATTAACAGTAGTTTATTCATTCTTTAGAAGTGAAAAATATAAATGTGTACATTAACATGCCACAAGTTATAAAAGTTTTTTTAATTAAACTAAAATATATGTTTAAAAAAATACTGGAGAGGCTAAAGTAAATAGGGCAGACTCATCACAAATGAACTTTAGATATAAAAAAGTTATCAGTGACAACAATATGCAAAATTAAACACAAAACACAATTCTATTAGAAAAAATACAGAAAGCTGATATTAAAATGCAAATATAAATTCCTGTATGTATTTGGACTGGAAATGTAAATTAGTCAAGACATATCATAAAACCATTGGACAGCCAGAAATAAAAACTGTAATGAGAAATAGTAGAATTACAGTGGAAACATAGGAACTCTGTTTCGTATTTGAGATTCATTTAACTTTGTTTTTTCAATAGTAGATAGCATTCAGGAGGATATTATGAGTATATGTGATGAACTAATAAAGCTTCTTTATTCAAAAAACTTATGAATATGATGCATAAATATAAGAGTAAAATAAACTGAAAACTGCAAAATCTATATAACACATGGTTTGCTTCCGGAACAACTTTAAATTCATAGTTCAACAGCAATTATTAATAAGTTATAGGGAAGTAGAAATAGTAGATATAAAAAATTTGTGGAAATTGGAAATGCCAACCATGATATAACACAAAATTATGGTGTAAAGATTCTAGAAAATTTATACTCATTTATATATGATGTTATAAAATTTTATGCATTCCACAAGAATATGATTGGGAAAATTATAAAGAAAACCTTAAAAGAAAAAGCTGACATCATGAAAGACTTCATAGGAAGTAAGGAAAAAGAATAGGATGGCATAATTTAAAATTTGAAGACATAGGTTAACAACGACCTCTTTCGTCTCCCCCTTCCCTCCGCTGTAATATATATATGGGTCTTAAATATCCTGCTTTTTAAATGTGTTGACTTGGGACAATAGCGTGTTTGCACATGAGCTCTATTTCTCTGATTTTTATTCTGAAAACAATAATCCAGAGATTGAGAGAATCTTGGAAATAAAAACAAAACAACCACTACCCAAGGTTTCTGTTGAAGCATGTGCTGTTTTGAAAGTAAATACTTTATAAGAAGTAGAGAAAAAAACAGTTTTGATTTGGAAACCTATTTAACATTCTTGAAAATAAATCTTGTGATTCTGGTGACATATTAATTCTGATAACCATAGATAACACTTAATTTTAGAAATTGATAAATTATTTAAAAACTTTTTTTTCAGCTTATTATGACAACACCATTTTTCATAGAGTTGTACCTGGTTTTATAGTCCAAGGGGGAGATCCTACCGGCACAGGGACTGGCGGAGAGTCTATCTATGGAGCCCCATTCAAAGTAAGACTGAATTACTATTATCATTATTATTTTGCAAGTCAGCTTGGATTGTTTAACTGAAAATGATTGTGCTCCACAAGAAGAAAAATCATTTCACATTAGTATACAAAACCAACTGTCATTTAGAATTATACAAGGATAAGAGCAACACTTACCCTACCAAATATTCTTTCTAAGTTGTCTTATTGCAAGCGTTTTATGTTAGATTGAGTACAGGTAGAACTAAAGATGGTAGTGAAAATAATGTGATTCATAAAAAAGACCATATAGCATATTTTCTGATGTCTGACTTTTTCTAATCTTTGCATCTCTATAAATATAAAGCATTTTTAGAATATTGCATATGCTATTTTATTTTAAAACAATTTACTTAAATCCTTTGGAATCTTAGAGTTGTTTGCTTAGGCTGCTATAACCAAATACCACACACTGCGTGACTTAAACAACAAAAGTTTATTTCTGATGGTTCTGTGGGGGCTGGGAAGTCCAATTTGGCAATTTGGATCCTGGTGAGGTCTTTCCCTGGTTTGTATTTGGCTTTCCTACTCTGAGGTCTCACATAGGGCAGAGAGAATGAACTTTGGTGTCTTATTCCTCTTCTTGTAAGGACACGAACCCTGTTGGGTTAGGGACTCATCCTTATGACCTCATCTAACCTTTATTGCCTCCTACCAGACCCAAATGTAGTCATATTGGGGATTAGGGCTTCAATGTAAAATTTTTGAGGGAATACAGTTCAGTCTCACTTAGCAAAATTTATTTTCAATTATACACAATAGTCTCTAACACAGAATGCATGCCACAATGGGAAACCACAAGGAGAATAGAAGAAGCAACATAAGAAAGCTTTATAAAATGGTATATTAGTTAAGAGTAAGTGAGAAATTTCTTAATTTCCAACACAGATCTAAGAAGAAAAAGAATATCATACTAAAGAAATTAAGAGGCCAGGGGAATAGCACATTGGTAGAGTGCTTGCTTAGCATGTGCGAGGTGCTGGGATTGATTCCCAGTATCGCAAAAGAAAACAAAGTAAGGAACAGTAGAGAGTTTAAGTAAAAAGCTAAAAATTGTGTTTGTTATTAGTCTGATGGTACCAACATTAATTCCTTTGGGTGAGTAAAAATTAATAGTTCTTAAATAGGGGAATTTTTAAAGAACTTTGTGTTTGTTCTAATGGGATAGAGTATCTGGAGTCTCCTTTCATCTTTTACTGGATCATAGTCTGATGTATGATTCTTAAGAAAAATAGTTAAAATTTTGCTTTAATTTCTAGATAATGATCTTAGAAAATGTGAATGGTTATTAAAAAAAACTCAGATGTAATTGTTAAGACTATTTTATATTTTACTAAAGTGAAATGTCTCATGGTTTTAGAGCCTACATTCTTGTAGGAAGCATTCCTTTATTCTATTATTTGGTGTAACAGAATAGCTCTTTTTGACAGTTCTTTCCTAACTTGAAATCTTTGTTTTGTTATTTTCAGTTAGGTCATTTTAAACACATTATTCAGAGTTATGATGCATTGAGTTCAGATCTCTTAAGAATTATTCATTACTTCTTTTATGACAAGTATTGATTACATAACATGCTATATAACATATGATTCCAGTATCAGGTCTGGATGCAAATTATGTTAACTCAGAGACTAAGGAATCTGTTAAGTAGTCCTATAAAAACAAGAAAACCACTTTAGAAAGGCTTTTACCTGCTATTTTGAAAACTGGCAAATGAGTTCAGTACCAGGTAAGAGAATATTTAACTTAGGATTGTGTCAAATCACATTAGCACTATCCTGGTAGGTTCTTTGAATCAAAAAAGAAGAAGAAGAAGAAGAAGAAAGGATTATTTCTTGACATTTAAAAGAGTTTAGGAGGAGCAATAGTTGAAGACTTCACAATGGTTCAAAGCTGAATTCCTTGGAGAAATAATAGGTTTTAAAAGTTTTGATGATTTTGACTATGAAAATAAGGAAATGAATCTTAGAAATCTATTCCCCTTTGAATGAGTTCTTTGCTCTATGTGTACGTATGCAACTTTCCACAAAATAAGCTATATTTATGGCTGAGTATATTTAGAAGACACAGGCTAGTGAATTCAAGTTTAAGAGTACTGAATAGTAAATTTTGGATTTGATTATACTTGAAAATCAGTTAAATAAAACTTTAGCAATTTTTTATTAGACATTATATGGGACCTTGCTGGTTAGCTGCATAATGATTGAATATGAAATGAAGTATCTTGTAACTGAGAACATTCACTGAATTTTTTTTTTTATGCTTCAGGATGAATTTCACTCACGGTTGCGTTTTAATCGGAGAGGACTGGTTGCCATGGCAAATGCTGGTCCTCATGATAATGGCAGCCAGTTTTTCTTTACACTGGGTCGAGCAGATGAACTTAATAATAAGCATACCATCTTTGGAAAGGTTTGTGTCCTGTTGTCCTAAACCTGTGATTTGGTTTTTGGTTTTATGTGATTCTTTAGGCTTCTGTGACAGATATGATGAATTTATCTAACAGCTGCCTTCATGAAAATATCCCTTGAATTGATTTATTATTTTAAAAAATGATGGAATATGTTCCTATTATAATGAACTTTAAAAGACTTGTGAATTCTTTATCATGTTTCAAGTCAGTTGTTTGTTATGAATTTAATGTTTTCTGTCCTTAAAAATCATACTAATGGTATCAGCTACCATGCCATTCAGCAATGATGTTTTTTACATTTTTAGAAAGATACTTAGGGGCTGAGGGTGTGACTCAGTGGTAGAGTGCTTAACAAGCATGTGTGTGAAGGGCCTGAGTTCTATCCCCAGCACTGAAAAAAAAAAGTCACATAACACTAGTTTAAAGTTTTCTTTATTAATGGTAATTTTATTAATTCCCTTTAGTTTAAAATAGAAGTTGACATTGAAAGCTTTTATTGGAAATGTTACTTTGGATAGTACTAATTTAATTCTGCTCACATTTAATGCCTTTCAGGGCATATCCTTTCCATAGAATTTTCAATAATTCCCAATAAATAGGGATCCTGAAAGTTTTCTTCTATCTTCTCATAAATATATTCTTATATATTTTAATTTTTAGACCTATTAGATACCTCTAGCTTATCAGCCCCCTGTACTGGTTGAGTAAGAATTGTTTTCTCAGATCCTAGGCAAAACTGGATTTTGTGATGATAAAAGAGGAAAAAACAAACAATACAATTGAAAAACTCATTTTTATATCTTGGGAAATGTTGAATTAAAGGAATCACATTAAAATCATGAAATGTAATTAGTTGTCTTTTTTTTTTTTTTTTTTTTTTTGGTGCTAGAGATTGAACCCAGGGCCTTATGCATGTGAGGCAAGCAAGCATTCTACCAACTGAGCTATATCCCCAGCCCCTATTGTCTAATTTTTAACACCATGTTTAGAAAATATACATTAGCCTATTCTTTCAAGACACTCCCATCTCAGGTTTTCTAATGACCATAGATTTTTCCTCCATATTATTTTTTACAAAAAAAGAGTGTAATAGAGGCTGGGATTATAGATCAGTGGCAGAACATTTGCCTCACACATGTGAAGCATTGGGTTTGATCCAGCACCACATAAAAATTGAATAAACCAGGCTGGGGTTGTGGCTTAGTGGTAGAGTGCTTGCCTAGCATGTGTGAGGCACTGGATTTGATCCTCAGCACCACATAAAAACATAAATAAATAAAATAAAGGCATTGTGTCTATATACAACTAAAAAAAATTCTTAAAAATAAATAAATAAATAAATAAATAAATAAACAAACAAAATAAAGATATTGTGTCCATGTATAACTAAAAAGCTTTTTAAAAGAGTGTATAATAAAATGATATTTAAGTTACATTTGTACTCTCTTTTACAAATGGTACTATATAATTTATACATTAGTGAAAAAATTTAGCAAAGTGGTTATAAGTTGGAAAAGCCACTACTGTTGACTCTATAACCTCTTTGAGTCTCGGTTTTTTTAAATATAGAAGAAAAATAATGATTGTTATTATTAGTTAGCTGTTTATGTGGATTGACTGAGGTGTCTGCATAATGTTTATCACATTGTTATTACTTACTTAGCCTCTTACTCTAAAAATCTAATTTTGTGTATGATGTTTGAAAAGTTGTCATTCAATAAGATGGTAATTGGCATTACATTTTTAATTTTAGTAAAAGATGGTACTAAGTACATATTGGAAATTTATCAAAAAGCCTAGTGAGAGATTGAACCCATCTGTGCTTTTCTCCCTTAAAATGAAGTCACCTTATTTGCATTATGTTTAATACATATATTCTTATGGAATAATATGAAATTATTTTTTTATGTATGTATGTATATTTTTAATAATATATGGACACAGTACTTTTGTTTTATTTATTTATTTTTATGTGGTGCTAAGGATTAAACCCAGTGCCTCACACATGTTAGGCAAGTGCTCTACCACTGAGCTATAATTCCAGCCTCTGAAATTCTCTTTTAACTATTTACAAAATATTTACAAAAGTCCCTTAATTCAAAGGATAAATAAATATATTTGTAATTACACTTTATATTTATATTAGGTTACAGGGGACACGGTATATAACATGCTGCGACTCACAGAAGTAGACATTGATGATGACGAAAGACCACGTAATCCACACAAAATCAAAAGCTGTGAGGTAGGAGCATGATTATTATGAGATATGGGACTTCAATTGCCATTTAAGAGGAGTTGACTTACTCTGTTTAAACTATTAGATGATGGTTTTGTACTAAATACAATGATTCACTTATGTATTTAGGCACAATTTATGATTTAAGAATTTTTTAAAGTAAAAAAGTAAAGGTTTTGAATTCAAGATGAAACTTTATATGATAGTCCAATGAATGAAAAACTCAACTCATGTTGGAAAGTTGGAGGAGTTAGATTTATTTTAGCCTAAAGAAATGACTTCATAGTTAAAGAGTTATTTTTTATGAAGGGAACAAGGCCCTTAAAAGCATTTGATTTGGAGTCAAATTGTCTGATTTTGTTTCTCTTACTGTGTGTCATTTACATTTTCCTAAGTATTTTTCCTTTTGTGAAATAGAGATAAGAGAGAATATCCTTTACTTAATAGCACATAGGTTTCTTGGAAGAATCCAGTGAGACATATAAGTTTAAGTACTTCAAGTAGTAGATCTATCACTATGCTAATAATATTTATGGGGGGAAATATGGACACTTTTGATGCAATTGAATATTGTGTTTTTTGAGTGAAGTTTAAAAAATAGAATAATGTTTTCAACATATTTCTTTTCATAGGTTTTGTTTAATCCTTTTGATGACATCATTCCAAGGGAAATTAAAAAGCCCAAAAAAGAGAAACCAGAAGAAGAAGTAAAGAAATTGAAACCCAAAGGCACAAAGTAATCATAGTAGAAACATTTTTCTTCAACTGGGAAAAGCAACACTAATTTATTTAGTTTTTCTATTTCCTTTTAAACTAATTGTTGACTAGCAAAGGAAAGACCCGTTTGAACCAGGGAGGTATCATAATATAAGTCTATGGCTTTTTTTAAATGGGCATTTCTTGTATTTAAGTACATTATATAACTTTAACTTAAACTAAAAATGTATCATTTCAGATGTCCACATAAAATCTGTGTTAATAAATACATAAGTGCCTTGCGTTCTCTATACCAATTATTTATATAAATTATTTGAGAAACATTTTTGCTTTCTTTTAAGTTAATATATGCTTACTTAGTATAAAGAATTTGGATAGTATAAAGAATAATATAAAAAATATTTGTAATCTTACTACATGATTGTATAATATCTTTAACTTTTTGACTCCTTTTTTAGATACTCTTAAAAATAATCTTTTTATAAATGTTTTTTTTTAATTTTTTATTGTTGGTTGTTCAAAACATTACAAATTTCTTGATATATCATATTTCACACTTTGATTCAAGTGGGTTATGAACTCCCATTTTTACCCCATATACAGATTGCAGAATCACATCAGTTACACATCCATTGATTTTAAAAATACTATTCTAGATTCATTATTCTAGATTATTTATTGAAGACAGTCTCTCCAAAAGTAAATTTTTTTAAAAAAAGAAATTTCAATAGTTTGTGTTAATATTCTTTACATTATTATCTGTTTTATTAAAGTAGATACTGCAGAATTAAATTTCAACCTACTCCTTTACTGAATTATAACATTCTTTTTAGAGATTTTATTGTACTTAGGAATGTTAGATTCAGACAACTCTATGTTTAATCCCATCAAACACAGTTGATAAGAATTGAAGTTTATTAATCTTTGTAAGCTTCAGTTATCTCATCATGTAAAAATGGTGCTTATCATAACTATAACATCTGGTTGTTAAGAAGATTAAATGGAAAGGTCTATGTAAAGATACCCTATAGGTGTTCAGTACACGTTAGTTTCTTTCCTTGATATCCTACAAAATAAAGTAAACTAAATTGCTTCTATAAACTCTCAGACAGGACTAGGCACTTTAATAAGCAGTTGAGACTTTGTGGCAGTGTAACTTTTTTCATTGCTATATATTGGATTTTCTTTGTTCTTTGATTCTTTTATTTTGACTAATTTATCTCTGGATGAAAGGTCATTGTCGCTATATTTATATATAGTCTTTCAGCACTATAATTACCTTGACAACAATCTCAAAAGGTTTTTTTGTGTGTTTTATAGTGTTTTGTTTTTATTCATAGCATATAATGTTAGGATGATATTGTTGTCATTACTTACATCTAGATTTTAATGTGAAGGATCAGAGTAGAAAAACAGTTTTTTTCTCTCCTTGGACATACATACACAGACAACACACACATATATACATATATATGTATATATAATCTGACAATTTTATATTTCTGATTAATTTTAAAATATTAAGATATATTTTGCCAAATACAAGAATAATTGCTACTTTATAGTGCTCTCAGGTCCGTAGATTTATTAGTTTTTCAGAAATCTTCATTTTGCTACTAGTTTTGATAAACATCAAAAATTTATTTCTGTTATACTTCACTCAGTATATATGGTAATGTTCAGGTTTTTAGTCATTAGTTTTATATATGTAATATCAATGGTCTGAGTCCAAAAGCCTTTACTGAAAATTATAGATGCTTAGGATACTTCTGCTGAAGACTAAATAATATTCTGTTCTTTAAAAAAGTGTATTTTTTCTTGCAGATTCTGTCCTATTACTTTAAAAATAGGATGTTTATGAGTTTTAACTTTTTCTAATTTTCTCTCTTTATTCTTTTCTTTTTTGACTAGAAATTTTAGTTTACTTTCATTTGGAGAAGAAGCTGAGGAAGAAGAGGAGGAAGTAAATCGAGTTAGTCAGGTAATTTCTAATTTGTCCTTTCATCTGAATTACAAAAGAGATCAGAATGTACTTCTTCGTCATTTTTATATCTCCTGCTTCTGCTGTACTTGGAACAGTACGTTTTACATGGTACACACTCAAGTCAATTTACCTTGAATGCTTTGTAAAATAATTGGTGGTCAGTAAAATAACTTTTGAATTGATTTGCCTTCTTAAAATTGTTGAATTTTTTCTTTATTTTTAATATTGGCATTTTTCTATCAGTTAAAACTAGACCTGAAGACTTTTGAATTGTTCAACTTTGTGATTCAGATTTTAATTTCTACTTGTTTGGTTTGCTAGATGATAATGATTATTACTATTTTTATAATGGTCACAGGCCAACTCATTTTCATATCAGTGTTACTTGCATATATTTTGTTTGCTTCATTAATTCTCATCCAAGCCTTTTGAAAGGTGTTATTATTACCTCATTTTAGGTTATAATTTGCTCAAAATCACATAAGTCGTAAGTAGCTGGAAATTGAACTCAGGTCCAACTATAAAATCTGTGTCTTTGTATGTTGTCTCTTGGCCTTTTATTTCACCAATCCTTCCAGGCTTCTAACTGTGGTTTTCTTTTAACCCACTTTTATCACAAAAGGTATTGCTGAAAGGCCTGCAGTCTCTTACCATTGTTTGGATTAGGTTCAGGTATATGTGCCCCAAGAAAATCACCTTCATAGGGATTTTACTCCCAAAGGTTCTGCTATGGCTTCCTTTCTTGAATGTAAATTAGTACTGAGGCCTCAATTCAAAATCGTTATCATAGTAATCATAACTTAGTTACTTCATACTGCCTTAGTTACTTGACATAGTCACCTATTTTTTACCAACACTAATAATAGCATTGACTTAGAAGTACATTATTATTTTTTTTAATCTTTTTTTTTATCCTTGTTTTTTCTTCTTTATCTCTGTGCTTCTTTTATTAGTGATCATGGTTTGGGGAGATAAATATTTTTAATGTTGGGCACATTTATACTCCTTGCATTAAAACTAAATTAAAATGGGTATTTCTCTCTCTCTCTCTCTCTCTCTCTCTCTCTCTTTTTGATACTAGGGATTGAGCCCAGGGGTACTTAACCACTGAGCCACATCCCCAGCCTTTTTTTAAAAGTTTTTTTAAATTTTTTATTTTGAGACAAGGTCTTGCTAAGTTATTAGGGCCTTGCTCAGTTGCTGAGGCTGGCTTTGAACTTGTGATCTGCCTGCCTCAGCCTCTCAAGTCACTGGGATTACAACAAATGTGTATCACCACACCCAGCTCATAAGTTTTGTTAATCTTTACTGTTTCTTTAAGTAATCTGTTAGATACTCTTGATTCAGTTACTACCTCCAGTATACCAACATTCTAAATTCTCGGAGATAAAAGTGGATGTTTTTTTTGAATTCTTATCCATTATTCTAAGCAGCTTTAGGAAATGTCTCCATATTAGATGTCAAAACTAATTTCATTTCCATGAAAATAGGAGATCAGTGGAGAAGAGGAAAGGGATTGAGGGGGAAGGAAGAGGTACAAGAAAAGGGAAAAACTGTGGGATGAATTCTGGCTTAACTTTCGAATGTACATATATGAATATACCACAGTGAATCTCATCATCAAGAAAACCCATAAATAAATAGCAGAAAGATCAGTAGAACAGAGGGAGAGAAACTGGGGGAGGGAGAAGGAAGGGGAAGAGGGAAGCACTGGGGTCTGAATAGGAGGGTTTATATTCCATGATTGTATGATTATGTCAGATTATGTCAAAAAACCCTAATATATGTATAGCTAAAAGGAAATAATTAAAAAATTTAAAAAAACTGAATTTATTTTTACATGAAAACCTTTCCCTAGTCCATATAAATATCATGAATCACTGCCAACTTGATATCTCAGGAATTATCTTCTGTAGATGTCAATGAACTAGTTTTGTATTGTTCATAATTCAAATTTGCATCTTATCAAAATAAAATATTTACTATATGCCATGTTTTTTTAAGTATATATGTGAATGGACAAAACTATGGATGTTAGTTCCTGGAATTACCAGTATTCCTTTATATTGATGTTTTCTGAAGATGTCAAATTGCCTTGCATCCACCCATGCCTTCTCATAGTAGTAACTCCACCCCTGTTTTCCCTTTAGTTAATCTGGAGTATGCACTCTTATCCTTTTTGGTTTTTTTTTAATCTCATTTTTCTGTTTTAAGATTAGCTTCACTATTACCCCATAATTATTTCTACCTCCCTCCTTGTTATGGTTTAGATATTAGGGTATTCCCCAAAAGTTCATGTTGAGACAATGTAAGGTTTAGAGGTGAAGTGATTAGGTTATGAGCTCGTTAATCTAATCAGTGCAATAATCCCTCTGTAAGGATTTAACTGAGTGATAGCTATAGACCCGGAGGATGTGGAGGAGGTGGGTCCCTAGGGGCAGGTTTTGGGGGTATATATTTGCTTCTTATTGAGCAGAGCTCTCTCTGATTCCTGGTGCTATGCTCCCAGCTACTTTCCTATGTCATACTCTCTACTGTCATGACATCCTGCCTTACCTCAAGCCTCGAAGAATGGAGTCGGCCGTCTATGAACTGAGATCTCTGAAACCTTGAGCCTGCAAATAAACTTTTCCTCTTCCAATTGTTCTTGTTAGGTATATTGGTCACAGCAATGAAAAAACTGACTGAAATCTCCTTCACCAAACTCCCACTCAGGTTGAGCTAAATACTTCTTTTTGTGATAATCTGTCTATGCCATCAAAGTATTTATTATACTTCATTATAATGATTTATTTTCCCATCTTCTAACTGTGCTAAATATTTATTTATATAATTTCTGTAAAAATCATATAGACTTTTTTAAATTCCCAATTTATAGATAAAGAAATGAATACTTGGGTTAAAATTGTTCAAGAACATGTAATTAGGAAGTGATGGAATCAGAATTTTGAACTTATATTTTTGAAGCTTTTTAAGTCTCTGATTTGAATGTGAATGCTGCAGAAGCTGTCTCCCGAAAGGCTAAAAGGCTGCTGAGAAATTTGACTCTTAGAACAGAATCCTGAGGTAGAAGGCAACTGTGCAGCACAGTGACTGACCACCTGCCCTTCCCCAACTCCCATAGGGTCCTTAATAATTGGTTGAGCAGGCTTGGAAAGCAGGGGTAAGAAAGCAGTTATTTTATGAATATTTGTTTTGAAGTTAAATTTCTGGTCTAAAGAAAGTTTTGAGCAGAATTACTTTGACTTCACTAGGAAATTAGTTTGATTCTATGTAACAGCAGCATGTGTTAATGTTCAAAGCTTATCTTCTTTCTGCTGCTTCCTATTGTGTCAGTTAGAAAAAATGATATATTTAATTTGATTTATTTTGAGAAATTATACTCCAAAAACAATTTGTGTTTGCTGTTAAGACTGCACTGTGAGAGAATACCACGAAGATAATGCTGGCTTGCTTTTTATTTTCACTCTTCAAACTGAGACAAACACTTTGAATGATTTAGGAAGACTAAGTAAAGTCTTTCCTTTCTGCCAAGAAAATTACAACCCACAGTTCATTATCAAAGGAGCATCATTATCCTAGTATTGTGTCATTGTTATTTCTCTCATTTGACTCTTTAACAGGAGTGCGGGGTGCTGTGTGATAAAATGATCACCACACATCTATATTTTAAGACTTGTTTATTCTTCTTTTCCCTGGCTGCCTACTGGATACCTTTCTATGTGAATATGTCACTAGTTATCCAAGTCCTGGCCAAGGCTTACTTCCTTATCTTTTCTTCCCATACTTCTTTGTTTTGTGACTCCTCTTTCTATTCCCTGGTGTCAGTATCCTCCAAAGAACTTTAGATTCAGTTCGACTTTTGTCTTTTTCTCTGTATTACCAGTTAGTTGCACTATTCTAGCAAGTTTTCACCAAAGCAATATCTCAGATCCATTTTTTTTTTATCTGCTACTGTCCTTGTTCAGATCCTCCATATCTCTAGTCTGAACTGCTGTATTATTCTGCACACTGCTCTGCTGTTCCTTCCACTCATAGCTATCAGAGTGGCCTTCCTGAAGCTTAATATGTTACTGTTGCTCTCTGCTGATTATAAAAATAAACTAAATTTCTTGGCCTGTTATTTTCAAGTCTCTACTTTTCAGGACTCTCCTTCACCAACTTGGCCCTTTTATCTATCACTTCTTAAACTTCTCTGGTGATAGAATAACTTGTGCTACCTTCTAAAAAACAAGATTCTTAGGTCCCATCTCATATCCCCTCAATCAGAATTTCCAAGGAAGGGGCCTGGGAAGCTGGACTTATAAGGAATAATAATAATTTTCCTGGAATGCATGACAGGAAAATGTAGGAACTTTGCAGTAGCAGATTTGATTAGCCGATATTCTGCATTTGTGCCTTCTTTCTCTCCCACTTCTTTTGTGCCTTTGGGCTTTCCACTATATAAATTGTCCAATTGTCCCATCCAGCCTCTGGATATCAAAATCATATTTATTTTCAAGCACCCAATATACTATTTTTCTAAGTGTCTTTTAGGTTTTTCCTAATCTTCCTAATTTAATCTAGGCCTTTTTGTATTCCTTTATATTTTCCTTTTAAAAACCTCTTCCCCCCCCATTATCATTACAAGAAGCATATGACTGTGTTCTCATTTTATACTACTCTAACATCATGCACTTTATTCTCTGCCTTTTTAATTGCATAGAGTCGTGGGCTACCAGCTCGTTGGAGGTAGATTCTGAGTCATAAATGAATGACAGTGTGTTGGAATCGATTTGGTTTGTGATCATACAAACCATACTGAACCTTCATTTCCCACTGACACTATGTGATTTTGAATAACCTAGTCTTTCTGAGTCTCAGTTTTTCTTTTTGCAGTATAGAAATAATATGTACTAGTTAAGATTATGAGATAAGGAGGTGGATAATCATTATTTTGCTACATTATGAAATCTTGAAAAATGTCTTTGAAAGTCAAATATCTTAAAATAGAACAA